ATCATAATATAAAAGCTTAACTTACCAACCAGCTTGCAAACAAACCGAATTGTCCCGTCTAACGGTTTGCATTAAAACAGGGGTTTCGTTTGCACACATTTGCAAATACATGCATAAGCTGCAAAGCCTCTTCACGGCACCCCAATATTCTGCAGTTCCCAACTCTAAATCTTGAGATCCTCCATAGTGGAAGCACATGTATAAATGGATAGACTGAGGGCAGGTGGGCCTGAGGGAGCCCACCCCTTGTTAAAGGTACAGGAGCACACTGGATACCCAGCATCTAGTACAATGGCAGCCAGGGTGTCCAGTGCGTCCCCTCGACCAGCATATCAACAGTACAAAAAATGGCCACTGCCCCAATCTATAACTGGCCTTCACAGCAAGGAGCACATGGAAGAGCGATGCATGTCAAACAATAAAAGAGAAAAATTCCCAGCACAACTTACCGACCAGCTTGTGAACAAACCGAATTGTCCTGTCTAACAGTTTGTGTAAAGAACAGGGTTTAGTTAGCACACATGTGGGGCAGTGGCCATTTTTTGTACTGATGATATGCTGGTGAGAGGGTGCACTGGACACCCTGGCTGCCATTGTGCTACATGCTGGGTGTCCAGTGTGGCCCTGTACCTTTAAGGAGGGGTGGGCTCCTTCAGGCTCATCTGCCCTCAGTCTATCCATTTATACATGTGCCTCTACTCTGGAGGCTCTCAAAATTTAGAGTTAGGCTACGTTCACACTAGCATTGTGTGCAGGTGGCAGAGAGGCGTTTGGGAAGCGTTTTTACCGCTTCCCAAACGCCTCTGCCAATTCTGCACATTACAGCACATGGTGCTGTTCTAACGGGAGCGTTTGCGTCGCGGCAAAATGGATGCCTCTGGTCGAGTCAGGAGGCGTTGAAGCCTCCTATTCTCATCTATGGTGCCACTCCGCAAACGCCTGGCCGGCGTTTGTGGTGCGGTTGCAACACGGTTGCGGGACATTTGCGGAGTGGTAACACCACTCAAACTGCATTATAGGCGTTTGTGGGGCGTTACTAATGCTCGGCAAATGCCTAGCAACCGCTGCTAAACCGCGCATGCGGCGTTTGCAGAGCGTTAAAAAACTCTCCGCAAACGCCGGACCAACGCTTGCCAAACGCTATAGGGGCGTTTGGCAAGCATTGGTAAAACAGCCAAGTGTGAACAAGCCCTTAGGAACTGCAGAATATTGGGGTGCCATGAATAGGCTCTGCAGCTTATGCATGTATTTGCAGATGTGTGCTAACTAAACCCCTGTTTTTAATGTGATTGCTATCCCCTGCGTGTCTAAGTGTTATCGCTGTCCCCTGTGTGTATTTGTGTGTATGAGATCACTGTCCCCTCTATGTATGTTAACACATTCAAGGCAAACATCGTTCCAGACTGGAGCCTCCTCTCCACTGCAGGTGCTCAGAGTGGCGGCATAAGAGCTCACTTGTGCTCACTATTCACTAACCACACACCAACTCCTGCATACTCCCCTATTATTCCACAAATAGCATGACCACATACCATGCATCCCCACCCAGGGACCGCCCCTTCTTAATGCATATCACCCTAATAGGCTTAAGTGATCTGGCCAGTAAGTCTGTTGTTTTTCAACAGAACAAGTTTTCCTGCAGATGTAAAGTAGCAGTTACAGGGTTTTGATAAACCATTTACAAGTGACAGGGTTGTTTACAATAATGACCATTTATTTATTTATGTGAATCCTTTATCCCAGAAGGAACAAAACTGTGTGCTGTAACTGCTTATAAAGTGTTAGCTGGAGTTCAGCTTCAATTTGCTAGTGTATCTAAATCTGCTAGTATACCTAACACTCCCCCTAAACTGACAATCCTGCTCTTCAAAGGTGTCTGTGTTGCTCCTTCACCTAGTGTGTAGGCACTCTAATACAGGAGGTGTGTTACTGGCCAGATCATCAGGTGAAAACAGAGGGAGGAAAGCCTAAAAAAGAAAACAAATGCAGCCACCACATGATTAATAAGCTACAATGTATTACATTTTTGTTTGATACAGCTTTACGGACCTCTGCTCATTCAGTCATCCTCTGCTGGGGTTATTCTTTAAAGGATAAGTTCACCTTTGGGAACATGTTACATCTTCCGGCCGCTTTTAGGGTAGAACATGTAACATGTTCTCAATGCTGCAGACGCGCCCGCCGCCCCCCCTCCCTCTGACATACGGTGAGAAGTCTCCCTGTACTGTCTCTCAGATTTGAAAACAGCACAGCCATGCAGGGCTCCCCCCCCCCATACAGCCGCATCATTCATTCATGGACTTCTGTGAATGAATGAACTGCAAGTCCCTGTAGCGTTAGCGGCTGTCGGTTTGTAGTTTTCAATGAACTACCATGGCGCTGTGGAGTGCTGTGGTAGTTCATTGAAACTACCTGTCAGAATATCTACTAGCTCATACATCCCATACGGCAAGCAGATATTCTGAGAGGTCTGCAGGAGACCTGCATGGCATCAGCAATCTACTGATCACTAGTGCAATGCTTTCCAGGCTTCTTTGGATAAAAATAATAAATGCACACTTTTTTACCAGCAAAAAAATGTGCATTTATTATTTTTGTCCAAAAAGATGAACTTTTCCTTTAACACACTGCTAAGAGCAATGAAGATGTTCTAACCATATGTCAAACACAAGGCTCACGGCCCACCAGGCCATTTCATGTGGCCCTAGCACCTCTCCTGCAGCTGCAACACCCCCCTCATCTCTGTCCCCACCTTGTCTCAGTAGTTGGCAGCAGAGGACAGAACTCCTCTGCCAATCCTGCTCTGCTCCATGCAGCCTCGAAAAGCCTCATCTCTCGGTCCCCTTCCCTGTCTCAGCAGTCAGCAGCAGAGAGGAGGAAAGAACTCCTCCCACAGATCCTGCACCTCTCTGTGCAGCCTCAGCACCGCCTCGTCTCCTCCCAGGCCTCAGCATTTAGCAGATTCCAGCAGCTGACTCCACCCTTCCTCTGGTCCTCCTCCAGACCCTGCACTTTCTGCTTCCCAGCACCGGCTCCAGTTTCTTCTTGAGAGCAGTACAAGCTGAGAGGGGTTCGCTGCAATGTGAAGGAGGGAGGGGGACTCTTGACTTCTGATGGTGGGGGGCTCTTGACATCTGATGTAAGGGGGGGGGGTTGCTCTGGACATCTAGATTTACAGAGACAACTGGCCCTTTGAGGGTAACCATAATGCTGATGCGGCCCATTATGAAATTGAATTTGACACCCCTGTTCTAACCCATCTCTAACCCATAGCAAGTTGACTAAGATCAGATAAATACAAGATGAATTGATATTGTTTTTTTGTGAGTTCTCTGTGGTTTATGCACTCTATGCATTATTCTTTGATATACTGATTAAACCTATAGATGTTGGTGTTCAGTGATAATCAGCCACATAATATGCAAATATATACATGTATATGAATACATAGACAAGGAATATATAATCAGTAGTTATAACTTAGCATGTACTGTATATTAGCACATTTACTAAAGTCAGATCAATGTAAGATTTATTGTCATTGGCTTCTATGATTCTCTTTGGTTATTGCACTTAGTACATTGTTCTTTGACATTGATTTAGCCCGTAGATGTTAGTGCACTCTGAAACAGGCATATAAGATGCAAATATATGCATGCGTGTAAATACTAAAACTAGAAAAACAAGAAAAGCAGTAAATACAGCTTACTATATAATGCATATTGTACTAGCATCAGCAGACATAATGTACATTACTTCACAATCCACTTTGTAAGTTATATATCTAATGGCAACAAGGTGGCGCTCTTTCACCAAAAGTGCAGTCAGGATGTTCTGGCATGTACAGTGCAAAGCAATGATCTTGACATTAAAGCCCAATGATCATTTCACCCCCCGGGGGCCACAACTGTATATTTTACAGTATCCTATTTGCAGTGGGTGTGGACAAAATTACTCCAGCTGAACTCAGTACAGTCCTATAGAGGCTGGTCTTGGATGGCCTACTGTATATCATATGAGAACTGTGGTGTACTGTATGAATATACCTATCAAAATATTTTATAATATTGTTCAACTGCCATAATGAACGTAAAGTAGTTGTAAACCTCTGACATGCAATATGAACAAAGCATATCCCTCTAAAGTGTGAACTTGTCTCAATCCAGAGCACTACGTGTCATTTCTGTCTTGTTCTCTGCTATCTGCATAAGTCACTTCAGACACCAAGAGAAAAAATGTGATATGGGAGAGAGCTCCTGCACACAGCCTGTGATTGACAGCCTCAGCTCTGTTCCTGTGTTCTGTGTGAAGGGGGTTGTGTCACTTCCCTCTAATTAAACTCTCATTGAGCTCTACAGAGTGTAACTTCAGCTCCCCACCCCCTGCTTTCTGAAAGCTGAGAAAAGCTGTATAAGTTTTGTACTTTTTTTTTGTGGAAAATACTGTTTATTGTTTTCTTGATTGTACAGTACAAAAACATATAAATAAAAACTGGGGTCCAAAACCTGGCCTATCTATACAAAGATAACCTAACTATGACCCACCATCCCTCCCTTTATCCCCTATCCCTGTGCAAGCACCGTTCATTTTAGGCAATAACATAAACAGTCTGCTGTGGAGCAAAAAGAGACACAAGCAATGGATTATAGCCTATATAGGCCACAAGGTACCCTTTCCCTATAGGGGCCTTCCTCAGAACAGCAAGCAGACAATCAAAAGTACACAACTCAGGGACATGTAAACCACCTCAGTTTATTTATAGGTCAATGGGAAGGTCTCATCCTGCAGTAGACATGTCCGCCAGCCAGCACTGCCATACATTTTGTACTTTGAACGGCTGTAGAGAATAGATGGCTGCAGACAGATTCAATTTATGTAGGAGGATTTGTTTTATCTCTGTGTATCACCTGAGACCAGTCACTTCACTAGGTATAGGTGAGGGTTTACAACCACTTTAACCGCTTCCCAACCGCCCTATAGCAGAAATACGTATATGTATGTGATTTTGCATTTCCGGGTAGGGGGTGCGCGCCCTACCCGCACTGCCATTCGTGGCCGCGGCTGTCAATCAAACTCTCCGGCGTCCGGTGCTTACTGAGGATCTCCAACAAGGAGGAGAGCTGTTTTGTTGAACAGCTCTCCTCCCTGTCAGCTTGGGCACACAGCTTTGGATGGCTGTGCACAACACAGCCATCCAAAGCAGTGTGATTACAGTGAAGCACACTGACACCCCCCCTAGTAAAACATACCCAGCACACAGTTAACCCTTTGATCACCCCTCATGTTAACCCCATACCTGCCCAGTGCCATTAGTACAGTGTCAGTTCTTTTTTTTTTCAGCACTGATCACTGTATTGGTGTCACTGGAGATGTCAGTGACACCAAGTCAGTGCCCCCCAGTGTCAGAATGTCAACCGCAGTCCCACCGTCCCGCTATAAGTCGCTGGTTGCCGCCATTACTAGTAAAAAAAAAAATATCCCAGTATATATACCACATTTGTAAACACTATAACTTTCACGTAAACCAATTAATTTACACATATTGGGATTGCATTTAGCAAAGACATGTAGCAGAATACATTTTGGCCTAAATTTATGATGAAATTAGATTTTTCTGAATTTTTTTACTGGACATGTTTAATAGGAAAAAGTAAAAAATATTGTTTTTTTTCTCAAAATTGTCTTTTTTTTTTATAGTGCAAAAAATAAAAACCACACAGGCGATCAAATACCACTGAAAAAAAGCTCTATTCGTGGGAAAAAAAGGACATAAATTTAATCTGGGTGCAGTGTTGCATGACCGTGCAATTGTCAGTTAAAGTAACACAGTGCCGTAATGTAAAAAATGGCCTGGTCAGGAATGGGGGTAAATCCTCTGGAGGGCAAGTAGTTAAGTGAACTCATAAATACATAAATATGGGGGCTGCCATTGCTGACTGAAAAGTATAGGCCCAGGGCTATACTGATCCTTGCTTGACTTCCTAGTTAGCCCCTGACCCAGAATAGAGATGTAACTTGTGAAATCTTGAAAGCCTTAAGCACCTTTTTGAGCTTTACTCTAGGTGCTGCGACCAATCAGGTAGGTGCCTTTAGGAGGCTGTTACCCTAAGTAGGTAGGCTCCTGTGCAACGCTTGTCCAAGTATTCGCTGAGTCTCCACGTTAGCTACCTACCTACCCTTGCGGATCTTTGGCCCCGAGCCTCTTCTGTGCCTCTTCCATCACCACCTGGCCACTGGCTTCCACCATTTTCTTGCTGGATGATGGACTGTTTTGGATGGTGGTCCAACCTAATCTTCTTTCATGCGTCTGCTAGTATCTGGGGAAGTGACCTAGGGGCAGCAAGCAACTGTGAGGTAGTCTGTGGTGAATATTGTCTGTCACTTAGACTCAGCTCCCTGGGGAAACCAGTTGTTGTGAGGGCAAGTGTCAGAGGACTAATACTAGCACAGCTTATGTTGATGCTAATAGTAAAGCTAATGCTCATTCCCGTGCATCTAATGCTCATGCACATGTACCAGCACACAAATGAGCTCAAGCTAATATCCACTGACACATAGGCACATCTCTGTGCACCGGTACACACCAGTGCACACTTCCACATGCATTGGCACCAGGCTGCCTATTTAAAGGAGACCCTGGTGTGTGCTAATAGCCGGATGTTCTTCATCTCCCTTGTGACCTGTGTTCCTGCTTATGCTGACTGATCTCCCAAGGCTGACTGATCTCCCAATGCTAAACTGGCTAGTTCCTGACCATGCTCTGTGGATTTGGATACTGACCTTGGCTTGCCTCTGGCTAGTCTCTGCCTGCTTCCCTGGTTCTGACCTCAGTCTGCTACTGGACCTCGCTCTGCCTGCTTCTTTGGTATTGACCTTAGCCTGCTACCTGACTACGCTTCTGCTTGATTGTGTATGACCCTGGATCGTCCTGACTACATCTCTGACCCTCTTCAGGGGTGCTTGGACCAGAGCCACAAAGGGAAGCCCTCTCGTCAGTTCAGCTTCCAGCCAAGGTGCATGACAGTAAGGTCCACTCTGCTTATGTACAGTTTTATGGCACCTACCCTTGCAAGTTGACTCTGTTCATGGCCAGGGACACATTTTAAACCAATGCAAGCACAGTATTTACAAAAGACCTGCATGCTTGTGGACAGGGCCACCTCACCTTTGCATGTGGGGGTAACTTTTGTGATGTGTGCATGTTCAGTAATGCCCGGAACCAGGTGGGGCCATGTTCATGTGGAAATGAACATTATGGTAGTATTCCGACTTAGAGATGAGCTGTACACTAAGTGTAGCTGTGTATCCTACAGATTTCCTCTCTGAAGCATTACATCCAGTGTCACTACACACCTTTTAGGAGGGACCACACTGAGCCGATGCCCTCTGCACCTGTCCTGCGTACGTCTGCCACCTCACTCCCATTGACAGAATAGGGTCCCGCTGTGCACATAGTGTGGACCTCATAGTCCACTTGATTAACTTTTGCTGCTCTCTTGTACCTTGCAGCCAGAACATGGGTCTCCGTAATGAGGGTTCAGTTCCGATACTTTCAGGGAACCATCCGGTGGGAGGAAGCCAGATTACTGACCCCCTTTCTACTGGAGGACCTTCCACCATGTCAGGTACCTTGCTTCATAACAAGCTGCTGTACACTCTCCACGCGTCTTTGGTTACCTATAGCAGCTGTTCGCTTCCTCCACACCTTCTGCAGAGTTAACCCTTTGTTGTGGCTTTGCTTCTTACCCCATATATGCTTTACTGGCCCTGTTCCTTCATACGCCAGAAACCATCTTGCACCCCTTTAGAGTAACTTCAAGCAAGGCTTTGGGACAGTTTCATGAACTTTACTATAAATCTCCATGGCAGAATAAATAACAAGCATAAACATAGTCCAGGCTCTAAGCTAACTAACGGAGGTGGCTGCCCTGACATACCTTTACAGGTGTTAATCCATAACTGTCAATCTCCAACAATTGGTAGTGTCCTCCGGAACCCCAGTATCTTGTGGGTAACTGCATGCTAGCTCTTGAACTCCAGGCATTTAATGTGCTCTCTTCAACTTTACCTGCAGGCTCTCACTCGAACCAAACCTTCCCCCTATTTATGTATGCCACAGGGTGGAAAGCCAGCTCTAGAAAAAAAAAACCTGGGAATTGAGGTCCTAGAAGTTAACCTCTTCCCTAGCCTGGACAGACCACCTAGCTATACTAAATATACAGCTTCCTGTAGGCACGTGCCTACATACAGTTGTGTCCAAAATTATTCAACCCCCACTGAAATTGAGTGTTTTTGGCCAGTTTGACATTGCTTTTGATCATTCAGTCATCTTGCTTACATTTACATTAAAGAGGCTACTTGTAGGTCAGACAAATATAACATAACAGTTATAATGAAATAACCACAAATGTCTTTTCTGTGCTCACAGCATTATCAGTTTTATTCAACCCCCAAGTGACATTCAATCTTAGTACTTAGTACAGCATCCCTTTTACAGTTATAACAGCTTTTAAACGTGAAGCATAGCTTGACACAAGTGTACTTGCAGCGATCTACGGTATCTTCGCCCATTCTTCATGGGCAAAGGCCTCCAGTTCAGTCACATTCTTAGGCTTGCGCACTGCAACTGCTTTCTTTAAGTCCCACCAGAGGTTCTCAATCGGATTTAAGTCTGGTGACTGCGATGGCCACTCCAAAATGTTCCAGCCTTTCCTCTGCAACCATGCTCTAGTGGACTTGGAGGTATGCTTGGGATCATTGTCCTGTTGAAAGGTCCCAACGTCTCCCAAGCCTCAGGTGTGTGACGGACTGCATCACGTTTCCATCCAATATCTCCTGGTACTGAAGAGAATTCATGGTACCTTGCACACGCTGAAGCTTCCCTGTACCTGCAGAAGCAAAACAGCCCCAAAGCATGATTGACCCTCCACATATGCTTCACAGTAGGCAAGGTGTTCTTTTCATCATAGGCCTTGTTCTTCCTCCTCCAAACATAGCGTTGATCCATGGGCCCAAACAGTTCTAATTTTGTTTCATCAGTCCACAGAACACTATCCCACAACTTTTGTGGTTTGTCCACATGGCTTTTTGGCATACTGCAGTCGACTCTTCTTATTCTTTGGAGACAGCAAGGGGGTACGCCTGGGAGTTCTGGCACGGAGGCCTTCATTACGCAGTGTGCGTCTTATTGTCTGGGCTGAAACTTCTGTACCCACATCTGACAAATCTTTTCTCAGTTCCTCAGCAGTCACACGGGACTTCTCTCCACTCTACGCTTCAGGTAGCGCACAGCAGTCGAAGTCAGCATCTTCTTTCTGCCACGACCAGGTAGCGTTTCAACAGTGCCCTTTGCCTTGAATTACTGCGAATGATGCTTCCTAAGGTGTCTCTTGGTATGTTTAACATCTTTGCAATCTTCTTATAGCCATTGCCCTTCCTGTGAAGAGAAATCACCTCTTCTCTTGTCTTCCTGGACCATTCTCTTGCCTTCACCATGTTTGTAACCACCAACCAGTAAATGTCTAGAAGGAGCTGAGTATCACAGTCATTTTAAAGCTGCCTAATTGGTGCTTATTATGCTTGATTGCTGCTCGGTGACATCCACAGGTGTTTTCAATACCTGATGGAAAGCACCTGTATGAACCTCTGTTCTTCAGAGTGGTAGTCTTTAAGGGGTTGAATAATTGTGGCAATGAAGAAACCACATAAGAACCATTTACTACTGTATTACATAAACAATTGATGTCATTTTAGTTGCATTTGGGTAGTTACAACGTCCTTGTAGGATTTGATTCTGAATACAATTCCAAATGTACACTATATGTTCCCTACCCCCTTTACAGCATTGGGGGTAATAATTTTGGACACAACTGTACTTATTTTAAACCTGCTCCAACTCCAATGTACTGGTATTCTGTGTTTTCTCTACAAATGTCTACCTTTTTCCAAGCACTTGAACAGAAAAAATAGAGCACACGCTTTTTCTCTTTGGAACTGCTTCTCTTCAATGCAAGTCAATGTGACTGCAACTTAAGCAGGATAATGTAGCAGTTATGGCAGTAAACTGCAGATCAGAAGGAGGTCAACTGTAGGTTCAATGCACCTGTAAATAACTCAAAATTATATCAAAAGCATCTCAGACAGATCTCAAATGCAGACTGAATGCACCTGAAAGCATGTTGCATTTGTCTATTAACACAAACCTTCATAGTGTATGTAGAGCCTGTATCTTTTTCTTATGTTGGGTAAGGGTTCAAATCTCAGTTTGTTCTTTATTGCTATCTAATTCACCACTGGGGAAATTCAACCTTTTGATGGTCCTGGGGATCACTGTCTCCAGTAGTGAAAGTTAATGAAAATCCAACATTTTTGAGTTGTCACAAAAACAGAAGGTGAGAAGAAAGACTAGAAATATAAAAAAGCCCA